TTTTCAAAAAATTCGCATTTGTCATTTTTTCACAAAGCGAGCATTTACCGAAAAAACGACCGGACTCCATGCAAAAAACGGGTAATCATGCAGCTGGATATCTGTGCGGCTCCATAATGCACCACCTTCATCCCAACTGAAGCCCTTCCTCCTGCATGCCGGAAGGGGCTAATATGAGCCCAATGTGTTAGGTTGCAGCGTAGCGATCACTTTCGCTAATAGCGATCTACTAGTTTAGTGCAAAAACGCATGATCGCACCGGAAAGCCTGGTGCGTTCCAGCCTGGGTTTGGGTTATAAAGCAGAAAGCTCGTGACACACACAACACGGATAGTCTTGCAAGTTTTCGTACTTGTAGAATGCAAAAGCGCATGAAAATTTTGCCGCCTAAAATAGGCGAATGTTTCTACTTCGATGTACAGGGGTTGTAAGAAAACAGTGAACTCATCTCATACCACATTCTGTATGCAGAATAACTTTGCCTTAATTTCATTGAACAATTATTTTCCGCAGTCAAAAAAGGTTGTTTTGAATTGTAGATTTTGAGGAGCAGCATTAGCGTACCTGAATTTGACCTCAAACTGGTGAGCTCGCAGCGAATGGACGATCGCCTACTGGTCACCAATTACAATGCGAAAATAACCGATTTGCATGGCGAGGTAAGGAACTTTGTGGCTGCAAAAACGTCAGGGCATAACACTTTAAAATGGCATTTCCTAATTTCTTCCTGAGAAGGAAATTCAGGCTGGACACTATGGAATAAGCTTGGAAGTTCTTTAGAAATACCAAAAATACCATAACCGGAGAATCATGTGGGAATTCTATGTTGGTGTTGTTAAGTGTATGCAATTTTGGTTGTTTTTCAAGACATTCTTCCTTGTTTTGACCTTCAATATATGAAATAGTGATTGTCTTTAATGCACCACATAGAGAACACTGTGACAGTCTCACACATTGATGTTTTTTGTCCACTTTCTAACAGTCCCGACTAAGTGCGAAAATTTCTTTTTTCCCAGCTTTCATTTTTTCCTGCTTAGAAAATATTTCCATTGAAATTTAATCTTATGAGATCGAGGGGGCTCAATGTCCATGTGCTGCTATATGCTCTTTATCTTCTAAAATTTCAGTTTTCTTTTTTTTTCTGCCAAACTGATGCAACTGAATTGAAAACCACATTTTTCGTGGAATTCAGGATGTGATAATAATTCTTTTTATGGAAAATAATAAAATAGATTGGTTTTGCAGATTGAAGCACGCATGGCGTGTATTGCTAATCAGGTGTACCTAATGGCGTGTTTCTGTGGACGGCCAGAACTGGATATAGAGCTCGTGAATACCGATTCAAGTTCAGTAAGTTCTTCTTCACACCATCCTTAATGTACAGAAATCGTTGAAATCAAGGGAGAAAATGCTGATGTGTAAGTCGAAGAATTTAACACTTATCATGTTAGCATCATCAACTGAATATGCCAAATTGCGCTGGAAGCCAAAAATATGAATCCACAAAAAACCTTGAAATTTGTGCCAAAACGTCAAAAATCAGCAGCTTCAAGAGGCATACTCGGTGAAGGTGCTGCTATACGTCCATCGATTAGGCGAAGTCAAGAATAGCTCAGGATTAAAAGACTTGACATAACCGATCCGGCATGTAGGGGTGTTCCAGTAACATCACTAAAATCGAGATTCCTATATCGATTTTTTCCGGTTGGTCATCGTAATAGCGTACAGTGTATTATTTATTCCTTACTGAGTATTTTTTTCAAAAGCGGGCTACCATCAAAATAAAATTTTCTGTAGGCAGGAGCCGTGTCCAGGTCTCTG